GGGTAGTGTCTCAGAGTGCTCGTGATGTGATAAGGCGATGTGATAATATAGCACCTTATCACATCATTGAGACATCTTAAATCGCTTCACAGGATATACTGTAAAGTGGATTGATTGTGTATTTTGTGGGCAAAATGCAGCAGCCAACACAGCAATGTCCCACAAACAGCCATGAATTTCTAATTTCCTATAGTTCTTTGATTGTTGGGCAAGACATTGCCTTAAAAATTCGAGACAGTGCAAAATTTCGGAAAATTCCAACTCCAGTATCAATTTGCAAGCACATTTTCTGCAATTAAAAAGAATATTCTGATGGCCTTATTCTGTCCCCACATAAAGACAAACGCCTAAATCGTGAAACAATCACTAGGAATGGATCCTTTTTAACTCAAAATTAAATCAATCTTTCTTATCAAGAATAATGTTGTCTCCAGAGGCCAATTTGCACTGGACCCATTAGAATGTACAACATGCAAAATGTGCTGAAACAACAAACAAGCTGTGATCTGTGGAGGTTAGAGGAATTTTTATACATGTACACACACTAGCATTTATACTTGCACGCACCCATACACACTAATATACAGACACACAAACACAAAGGATTATTAAGACAAAGAACAAGTCATCTCAAGTGGATATTGCAGCTGAGTCAATTCTAACATTTATAAGGAAATCAGATAAACCCTTCGAGAACAATGATATTGCAGATTTGAGGGAGGAGCAGAGATAATAATAATAATAATAATAATCCTTGCATTTGATATAGCGCTTTTCACGTCAGGAGGACGTCCCAAAGCGCTTCACAGAATATACTGTAAAGTGAATTGACTGTATATTTGTGGGCGAACGCGTCAGCGAATTGCGCACAGCAATGTCCCACAAACAGTCGTAGATTGAAAATGACCAATTTATTATTTTTTTGTTTTTTTGGAGGGATTATTATTAGGCGTGTGGAGTAAGGAAACTTGCCCAAGGTTTCGCCCTGCCTGGAATTGAACTCAGGTCTCTCGCTTGCAAAGCGAGTGCTCTAACCACTGAGCTACAGGACTCCACATGTGTCCTGTAGATGTGGGGTTATAGTTGTTATCTCCATGGTGTGAGGAAGAGGACGGCACAGACACAATGGCCTACCAATGTGCTGAAATTTCTAGGAATCTATATAAGAGTGTAAAATACAGAGGAAAGGCAGAATGCAAGTTTAGGTACTGTATCCAAATCAGCAATATCTAATTAGGCTGTTACACTAACATAAAACCAGGTCAAATAGAAACACGTGAAGTATTTAGACTGTGTTATGTCCCTCTAATCAGCAATTTATTATCGTTCAATAAATTTACAGAGACCACAACACAAGCAATAATCTTTCAATATGGCATAAGCACCCAGCAATCAAACCTACCAAGCTGGCTGCCATCGTCGCCCAGCACTAAAACAGACTCAGAGATTTGGGAGAGATTTCAAGGCAATAATCTTACTTTGAGAGTTCACTAGATTACAATCAAATCACTTCCACGTTTTCAGTACATTTTGAACTATTGAAAGGCAATAAAATCTTGGCTGCACGCATCGGTTGCTTAACAACTCTCCCCTCCCCAGTGTCAGTAATATAGAAAAACATGTGCAGTGGAATGAATATTACCTGTTATTTCAATACTGTTATCTGATCCTCTCTTAAAAGGAGTTGATGCTCAAAGATTTGTAATCATAACTTTCGTAATCAACACGGCTATCACAAGATCAATCAAAGAAAGATGGGAGTGAGTCTTTCAATGGCCAAAAAGCATTAATGTGTTTCAGCAACTGTCCTCAGATTCCCTGACGGAGAATCTTTGATTGCACAGATCTAGGCTGTAAGGAAACAAAGGTTTCTAAATTATGAATTTCATGAGTTTTCCTAGGGTAAATAGAAGAAGAATGTTTCCACTGATTGACAAGTCAGTAATAAGAGGGCATCAATTGAGGAAGAGAGAGAGAAAGGGGTTATAACAATTTATTTTACCTTACCAGCCAAAGCTTTTAGTTCTTAAAAGAAAACTATGGAAAATTCAGCTTCAAAATTAAAAGCTGTAGTTAACAGTTTTGGAGTCTCTGAAATGTTACATTAATTAAGAGTAAATCTCGACCCAGGAGGCACGGCGATATGTCTTGGACTCGCACCGTAGCACACCTGAGCAAAAGGTTGGCCACCACCATAGAACTAACAGAACTATACGTAAGCAGTATGCATTGGCATTATGTTTAAAACACTGCCATTATTTTCTAAGTTCATCACCCCAAATTGGTCACCAAACTCAAAATGAATGAGTATTTGATTCTGATTTAGTTAGACTCAAGACGTTCTTTGCAGACACTGTTATGAAGAGCATAATGTAGAATTGCACACAAGGTACGTCTCACAGGTTAATTGGGTACACCCACAACAGTATTATACATTGCTGAAATCCCAGCAACAAGGTCCAGAACAGCTCATCAAAATCCAAGTAAAACACTATTTTCAGATGTTATGCGATGATGAAACAATTAATTGGGATGACTACGGGGGAGTGGAAGAGGGGAAAGAGCGGTTAGTTACCAGCTCCGTAGAGCTGTACAGACAAGGCCTGTTATAAGTCTCAAGATTGGCAGCGACAGAATTAACCTCCGTGGGCCAGTTTGGGTAAGACTGTGATACAATTAACATCACACAGGGTAAAGATATCACTGAATGACGCAGCAGCCAGTGTGTGCACAGCAATGTCCCACAGACAGCCATGAAGTGAATGGCCAATTTTATCTGGAGGATTATTGGCCAAGACATTGGGAGAAACTCCTTTCTCCCTTCTTAAATCGTGACATGGGACATAAAGAGTCAGACGGGAACTCGGTTTAACATCTCAACCGAAGGATGGCATCTCCAACAATGCAAGTACACCCCCAGCACTGCACTGCAGTGTCAGCCTGGACTGTGCGTTCAAATTAGCAGAGAACACACACCTCAACAATCCTTGCCAGTTCAACCTGAAAAACTGCAAGCAGGTTCTCACACCTCCCTCACATTGCCATACATCAAACAGCCCATCAAGTTGCCAAAAATGTGTCACTGTTTAAGAGGGAAAAAAACATTATGGACATACAGACATTGCCAATTTCTGTGACTTGTGAAACTACCATGTATCAAAAGGTAACAAATGATTTTTGTCAGTGTAGGTAAAGAACAAACACAAGCAAAAACTGCCAAAGAATGACTGAAGATAGATAGACCACAAAGGAATCTGCCCAGAGGTAAATTGGCAGTAGAGTTATGCAGCAACTGGACTCTTTCCATTCTAAGTTCACCTGCCGCTTTTCGATCCTGCCTTCAACAAGTATCACCCTTATATAGCTTTCCTCTCAGCAGGTAGGAAAGTCACACGTCACAAAGCCATAGGACCTGTCTATCAGCTGGGACATACAGATCAGTGTGCAGGCTGCGGGCAGTGTAAAAGGAACATCTTAACAGCTTAACACTGTGTTCCCTGCTCACCTCATTCTGCAGAAGGCATGAAACACAAGTTACAAAAATGCTACCAAAACTACACTAAATTGATCATATGATTACAAGGTAACACTCTGAAACTGAGGAGGTGGATTTAATAAAGGCATAGTAAAAGTTGTTTATAATTATTGCATGAACGTTAAGCTTACATGACAGGCTTGAAATATCGCTGCTGACTACCTGCTGTTATATGCAGAATGCAGTCAGTGTTATACGCCATCTGTCCACATTCGTTACTTCTGCTGCATACTGTACTGATGGATTCAGCCATTTATCCACTAGTGCCCCCAAATCTTTATTCTGTGTCTTGTCTGGTAACCTAATACAATTTATCATATATTCCTTTCCTCCCTCAATCTCATCACTCTACATTTGCTCACATTAAATCATATTTGCCATTTGTCAGCACCAATGTTCGGAACAGTCCTCTGTATTTGGTCAGCATTTTCCTTGTTCAGCTTAGTTTCCTTCTCCACTTCCAAATCATTTATGCACAGTGTAAAGAGCATTGTTCCAGGCACAGATCTTTCCAGATTACTCCTGACATGAATGCTACAAGTATACACTGTGTACAGGTTCTGCATTTCTGGCTGTTACCACAGATTTTTAACCACCAATAGTTGCCTTTACATACAAGTAATAAAGCTTGGGTGTGGCCTTTAGTTCTAATCTCCAGTGCGTTATGACTTTGACACACACCTAACCAATGTAGAAAAGTTTTCAGTTTAAAGAGACATTACCTGAAACTAACCACATTCCCATTTACAAAACAATTCTCCGTTTTCTTAGCTTCAGGAAAAATGGTCCAGGTCTTCATTCCAGAATGAAATTTAAGAAAACTATGCTAATTGTTTCACACCATTGGGGGTTTTGTAACTAGCAGCAGTCACTGAGAGAAATGAGTGTCTCGGTGCCTGTGTACAGTGAGAAATCCCATTACCAGCTTGCAATGAAAGATTTGCCACACTTAGGGACTTGGAGCAGAGTACGCCTTGTTCTTTTAATTAGACTTTTTATAAAAAAAAGTGCAGTACAGATTGATTTTTAAGGAGCTCGTAGTCACCGGTTGTCAAACAATTGGATACCATCACTTTAAAAGAGCAGGACAGTGTTGGGACTGATAATCTGTGACTCCCACAGTATATATTTACAGGTGGCAGCACTGCCCAGTATGACCACTAGAACAGGTCGGGCCTCAACCTTCGACAAATTTACTTTCATAAAACTAGCAGCTACACCGCAATCTCATCATCCAGACAATCCCCCAGATCCTGCCTTTTCAGGACATTCATTAAACGAATCGACTCTTCATTAGCCCAGTAGTCCCTCTCCTCACTCTCATCCGTATTAGACTCATACTCGGAGGCTATTCCCGACTCCCGGAATTTGATCAGCTCCAGGCTGCCCATGAATTCCTCCTGGCACCTCTTTTCGTCTCGCAGAAAGTGGAAATGCTCCAGTTTGATCAGACAGTTATCCATACCTAGCGGGCTGCCCATTGGTAGGGAGAGGTCAGTTCCGTCGCCTAGCTGGGGTAGGCAGATGTCTTCAGGTTTTGGAGTAGTGGGGTCACACAGCACTGGAGGTATAGTCGATCGGTAGGTAATTTCTAACAAGCTGTCCTGCGAACCCACTGAAAAAGGACAGAGAGACCACATCACCAAAGCTGTCAATAATGCCGGCCTATCATTCAAAATGTATCTCAAAAGATGTCCCAAAGTTACACCGTATAAGACATTTTTGCTAAACACATGGAATTGTGGAAAATTCAGGTGCAATGTGAGAATCAGTTTTCTTTATACAGAAATGGAGAAAACTGGCTTCCAAATTAAGATTGGATTTAAGAATTTTCCACAATTCTGCACAATCCTGAATTTTAAGATAGAAGTTTTGCAGGCTTAGACTAAGTGAAATTTCAGCCCTCTGAAAACAAGGTGTCTCACCATCAGGACCTTTAAAAAACTGCTATGAAGAATGATGGTCATTTTCTCCCACTTCACCTTCACCATCTAGGATTCTTCCTTGGCATATTTTTTATTTAACACAGGAGTGCTGGTTGTAATATCAGGAGAATGGGTTGGAATGAGATACTGACTGAAATTAACAGCAGGAGAGACAGTCATTAAGACAAAGGACTCTGATGACCTTGTCATTTCAATTGTGAGCATTATTTCAGCTCCTTCACACAGCAGCTCAGTAATACCTTCCATGCTGGTCTTCTCCCAATATTCTCATTAGCACTTGAACAAGCTTCGCTTTCAATATATGCTGGTTTCAAAAATAACTGGGCGATAGCAACAGGCAGAAAAAGTGAAGCGATTAAGAGGGTCAAGCTGTTCAAACCCATTTTGAATAACTTTTTTTAAATAAAAAAAATAAAAAGAGTATAATAGTGAGACTCTTAACTTTTTGGAGGCTCCAATCACAGTGAACACTAGAGTGGAACTCTGCTATCATGCGTTTCATTGTGGCTCGGGTTTGTTTATATTTTTATTTGCTTACTTGAGCCATGGCCAGAAAGTTTCAGCTCCAGCTCCTGCACTTGCTTTACGAGCAGCGAAATGTGCTTCAGCATATCCTTGTTCTGTAGGAGCAGCTGATGGACTCGGGCTTGAGCCTCGATCCGAGCTGCTGCTTCTGCAGCCAGCTGGTCCTTCAGAAGGTGAACCTGTGAGAGTGCAGACACATAAGCAAAGGGCAGAAGGGTTACAAGCTTCATGTTGGCTGGAAAGAACTCAGCCATTGTTCTGTGGCAGTTGTGTAACCTTTTGACACTTACTGTATTAACAAATAAGTCAATGACGGCAACAGACTCCATATAGTGAAATCGTGAAATCAAATGCCAAGTTATCTCCCCCACCCCCCCACTAGCTGACTGATGCACCATTCACCCTCTATAATAATAATAATAATCCTTGCATTTGATATAGCGCTTTTCACGTCGGGAGGACGTCCCAAAGCGCTTCACAGAACATACTGTAAAGTGAATTGACTGTATATTTGTGGGCGAACGCGGCAGCCAATTGCGCACAGCAATGTCCCGCAAACAGTCGTAGATTGAAAATGACCAATTTATTATTGGTTTTGGTTTTGGAGGGATTATTATTAGGCGTGTGGAGTAAGGAAACTTGCCCAAGGTTTCTCTCTGCCTGGAATTGAACTCAGGTCTCTCACTTGCAAAGCGAGTGCTCTAACCACTGAGCAACAGGACTCCACAATACACACTGACTGTATTTGCAGGGGAACGCACCAGCCAATTTGCTCATGGCAACGTTCCACAAATAGCCAAGAAGTGGATGACCAATTTAGCTAGCTCTAGCTCCTCACCCTAATGAACTGTTCTTCCTGTGTGAGCTGAGACACTGCAGACTGGCAGGATTACGTGACTGTGGTTGGCAACACAAGCCGAACCCTTTCCTCACCTGGTGAGCTCACACACCCCGCGCACACACAAACGCATAACACACACTTTCAGGAGGAGAGTGACTGGAAAGTGATCAGGAAAGGGAACCTTGGTTGAGTTTGGCCCTCATCAGCAGGGTCCTTTAAACTACTTGGATTATAGGATCAAAGATACAGGTGCTCCTGATGGTTTAGTGGGAGAAGCAGCACCCAGTTAAGTGCCAAAGCAAACAGACCAGAAGGCTACAGATTAACATGTGTTGAATTAGCCAATCTCAGCTAAGAGAGCAAACAGAACACTGTAATTGTCATTCTTCCTCAGTGTCTGTGTGCCAGGAAAAGTAATGTCAGCAAACCTGGAATGGACATTTTTGAGCATTGAGCGAGGGAAGGATCTGGCTCAGCTATGAAAATGGATCAGAACATCCTGAATTGCTTAATCTTAAAATTGGTCATTCACTTCTTGACTATTTGTGGAACATTGCCATGAGCAAATTGGCTGGTGCGTTCACCTGCAAATACAGTCCGTGTGTATTAGATGGTAAAATCCTGAGAAGCGCTTTGGGACATTCCGACAATGTAAAAAGACACTGAATCAAATGTAAGGATTATTATTTCGGGTCGAGTGCGTCTTCTAACCAGCTTTGACTCCATTAGCATTCTATTCAGCCCAAGACTTTAAATAACCGCTTTGTATGGGGCTAACATTCACTTGCAGCTCTGCAAAACGAACAGCAGATGGTTCATTTTGTTGGAGCTAATTCCATTAACCAAGGTCATGAATGGTTTATCTCTTTAATATGGAATAAAAGGGCAGGTTTCCCAGCCAAGGCTCAGTAGCCAATGCAACAACGTTAAATACAAGAACAGTGCAGGTAACTGCATGAGACCTTGGAGTGACAGAAGCCAGATTCTCTGAGTTGAACTGGCTCTTGTTTATCAATGTCATTTAAAACTACAATTGCTTATCTTCCCTTTAATATGCTGTAACATTTTGAAACTTTAGGCAATGTCATGTATTACTTATTCTGGGATTAATGAATTTTAGAACATTTTCCACTTGAATAATTAAACTGCAGGCTTGACGTACCAATTATTAAATCCCACTACGGTCTAAATCCCTCTCCTACCTTCCCAATTATCATTCTCTATTAGATCAGATATTGGTCCAGTGCCCTGGGCCGTCTTTCCAACATGAAGGGTGCTATACAAGTATAATTTGCTGCTGTTGTTAATAGTCCCTTAAAACAATATATAATTTGATCACTCAATCCACGACTGTTTGTGGGACGCTGCTGTGCGCAATTGGCTGCCGCATTTCGCCCACAAAATATACAGTCAATTCACTTTACAGTATATTCTGTGAAGCTCTTTGAGATGTCTTGAAGACGTGATAAGGGGCTATATCAAATGCAAGGATTTTTATTATTGTATTAGGGCAGTGAGCATTCAGTGGATAACTCACTGTCCTTTCTAGTCTTGGGTTTTCCTTTTTATCCAATTCAAACAATATAAATGAAATTCTCTCTCTGGGAGCTGTAAGGGTCAAAGTAAACTCAGCTTAGACAATCTCAGGCCAGTTCAAAGTGAACAGTCTCAACTCGTTCCATAGTAGACATCAGGCTCAGTGACGATGCTATATCAAATGAAGGGATTATTATTATGATTGGCCTTCACATGATGGCCACACAGTGGAATAACCTCTGAACACTCACTATGTGGACTGACTGACGCATGAAGAATGACTATGTAAGGGAGATAATGGAGGAGATTTGGCACCAATAGAGCTATACAACAAAATTCTTGCTGCTTTCGGTAAAGGGAAGAACAGTGAATAACCTCTTCCTTAGTCCAGGATGTCTGACTCAACTCCTCTGCCCTTTTCCACAGAGCACTGATTCAGTGTTAAACGTAACGTGCATTTATCACAGTGAGTTGGCTTCTGGTAAAATGCAACAGTTGACCCGCTGTAAACATGTTATTTAATTATTCATCCAATTAATTGACAATGAATTATTTGAATAAAGCTACACATGCACGTAATCAGCCCTCAGGATGTCACAGTCTTATTGGACCAGAAAATCAATACAAGCTGCAGTTTCATACACGATTCTGCTGACCCAAGAAAGCTAGCAAGCCCTGCGAATTGGGAAGTGCTGAAGAGAACATGGGTTGTTAATAACTCAAAGCTTGAAGCTCCTGACGTTCATGCCCATGATTTATCCATCATCCTTGCTGAGTGTAGGAATCCCTCTCAGCTGCAGACCCCAGCTTTCTCTCTCTTTCCCACATCCCCACCAGCCCACATCCTTTTCCTTAAGGATCTTCATTACGTCTCCTCAGACATCTATTTATTCCCAGCAACCAAGAATGCACAGAAGACAGGTTACCTGGAGAGTTTAATATAATTCAACATTTTAGCTTATTCTCTCTTTGAAGGATTACCTGGCTGCAACACTTGAATTAAATATAAACATATGAACTTTTCAAAATTCAAGATGATGCCCTTTCTGCATTTTTCAACAATGTTCCACACAAATGGAGGTTCAACAGCCACTGCTGGCAGAATGTTCATCATAGCAAACCTGGGTCCTGTTCTCACCTGACATCCACTTTCCATCAGGGACCACTGGATACAATCAGGGATACAATCATACAATGATGTCTCTCCTCTCCCCCAGCTAAATCAAGCTGAGGCCCTATTTCTAACCAGTCTGAGATCAGCTAAGTCCTGATCAAATGTTGGACTTTTCTGCTTTGTAGAACTCTGTGGTTTTACCAAACCAGCCACTGAGAGGAGCTAAAGGACACTTTTTATAAAGGCAAGTGAAAAAAATGATTTTGAAAAAATGAATCACGTACAGATTACACAAAGTGATGGATGGGGATGAATTAATTACATATTATATATTGGGAAGGAGTTGTTGGTTTGGGGCTGTTAGGTGTGTTTGTATACTTTTTATGTACTTATTACACATGGCTCAAATTCACTCCCAGCTCATCCATTATTCAACATGTAATACCAGCACTGAAGACTGATTACTCAGGCTTAAAGTAATAATATTTAAATCAGCCAGAACTTATTTCACTCTCTACTCACAATTGCTGCAAAATGCAAAGCGTTCATTCAGTTAACTAATCGCTACGTCTTTAAGCTGGACAATACACCAAAGGTTTGGATCAGTCAGTAATTCTGCCATTCCAATTCACATTCCACTTCCTCAAAGATAAACAGCAGACACTGGTCATTGGAGATAGAGATCTGGATGATCCCAGTTCCGCCAGCGCTAACAACATCCACAAAGTCTCCACACTCACAAAAGCTGCTGCAGAAAGTTACAGTTAATCATACGGAATGCACAATAACCTCACACTGCAATTTTGACAGACAGCATCAGCATCAGTGGCAATTCAGTGGATTTCCTGCCAAACTAGGCAGTCTGCAAAACTCTGCTCTCTTCACAGAACATGGAGAATGAAGTGAAATACGGTGCTTCAGGTGGATCAAACACCCCCTAACAAAATGCCCTCATGTGGAAACAGCACCATCTCAGAGACAACCACTGCAAGTGCGCTAATGTTGTCCATAAGCACTGGTAAAACATTGGTAAAAGGTTGGGCGGGGGGGGGTTAGTAATAGCTCAATTACAGTACTAATAATAATCCTTGCATTTGATATGGCTCTTGATCACGTCTTCAAGACGTCTCAAAGCGCTTCACAGAATATACTGTAAAGTGGATTGACTGTATATTTGTGGGCAAAACGGGGCAGCCAATTGTGCACGGTGCAAGTTGTTGTTGTTGTTTGTAGTCAGAAATGGGGTTCAGATCCCTACCTATGCAGCAGGGAAATTCACTGGTTCCACGTAAACCATCACCTTCGTAAGACCAGGCCTGACCAGTGGGGTGAGCTCACTATATGACCCACCTTCTCAAATACAGCATTTTGGACATAGTGTTACTTAAAGGTCTTTATAAATGCTTTGACAGACAGATTTATAAAGCATTTAATGCAAAGAAAGCTTTTTGCTGTCATTTAATGGAGAGGACTCTTGAGCCAATCCTATTAATGTTAATTGCAACATTCTGCACCACTATAATGGCAATATAAAACAGTACTGACCTACGGAACATCTTATACCAAATAGCAAATAAAAGTTGCGCAGTGCACCGAGATGAATGTGGGTGGATCTAGGTTGTGATATCAAATATTTTAATAGAACACACTAATAAAAGGCAAACTATTCAAATCTTTGCAAATTCAGTTGAGTATTCCCCATTGCTGTGCTCCTTAATATTAACCGTGCACATTGTTACCCTCAGTTTAATTTATTCTTCATTAAATCAGATCAAAGTGCTGAATTCCACTGAGATAGATGTTTTGATGTACTTACCATTGTAATCTGCCTCCAAACACAATGAATAAGTGCAAGCATGTACCGTTAGACAAACAGTTAGCACCACCACAGGGGTAAGTTATGGGAGAAATTCTCTGTGCACAATAAGCATTTTGGAAGCACTCAAACCAAACAACATTCTACGACCACGAGAAAAGGTCAAAACCATCCTACTGGAACCATTGAGCAATAGAAAAACACGAGTCAAAAGTGTCCAAATAAACCTCATCCTTTTCATAGTACCTTTCCAGGCACTTGCTTTGCTTTTAATGATACAAAGTTTGCTTCCCTGACAGTCACGAGCTCTGAAGCTTTTGAATTGCACTAGATGTTAGATTTTTTTTAGTATTGATTCTGCTTCAATCCAAGTGTAATTCCATTGCAGAGTCCAAACCAGAACTTGTGGGGATAAAACTATATAGAAAGTCTATCTGAAAGTAATGTCACCGGCAATTAATTCACCGCAGAAGTCTATAGCCACGGCAACCTTTGTGCAGGTAAGAGAGCCTCAGGGCAATCTCCCTGCATTTAGGGCAAGGGACCTGCATCACTCTCCAAAATCCCAATAACATTGAATAAATTGAGTCTTAAATTTAAATTTTCTGATGGTTTCAGGCGAGATGTTCGAGGAACCAAATCCTTCAGAATTTCACTCTCTGGTATCAGATTAGTTTATCTGAACATAAAAGGGAGACATTTTAAAAGAACAAACCCATTTATATAAGGTTCCATTCATTCTGAATGAAGGAGACGCCACTGAATACATTCTCTCCTATTTATTAGCGGACATCCTGGTAGTGGACATGGCTGTGACTATACATAGTGATAGACAAACCTTTTAACTGAAGTTTTGCCCTTCGGATGCTCAGCTCTGTGAAGATCTGATGGACGTCACAATTTGAGGCAATTGAGAAGAGACAAAGTGGAAGTGAATGAAACGCCCGCTTGTCTGTCCTAACAGGAACATGTCAGGAAACCGCCAACCACCAGACAGCAATCGCAATCTTTTAGATTGCTTTCATTCATCGTCATGCTTATGTAAAGGGTGCAGAGATAACTTCATTTTAAAATAAAACTGATTTATTCACAGCTTTAAGTTTAGTTTTAGCAAATAATTATTATTAGCAAATTATCATTAATAATAATTAATGAATAATACAAATTATAATCCTTGCATTCGATATAGTGCCTTATAACGTCCTGATGTCTCAAAGTGCTTGACGGGATTTTATCACGAAGTGTAGTGACTGTGTAACTTGTAAGCAAACGCGCTCCAATTTGAGCACAGCAGTACCACTGAAGCAAATTACCAATTTTATCGAGAGGGCTGTCGACCAGCGTCTGTTTTTGAATAGTGCTATGGAATCTGTAATGCCCACAGAAACAGGCAGACGAGCCTTCGGTTTAACATTCACCTGACTACGCAGTACTGTCCTTCAACGCTGCATTGTAAGAACATTTACAGTGTTGTCTGTGCCCTAATATGACTCTTCATATTTAGCGCAATAGATTGTTCCTAAAAATGCAACAACAGTAAAATATCTTGTGAAATATCCCACTCAACCACAGACAGAAAGAACATGTCAGCTCTAAATCCGTAACGCAGGGCAATGCTGTGCTACGACCAGCAGGTGTCTGACCAAAGCTGGAGATGGTGAGGTAACGTGATGATAGATTGCACCATACAGATGCACTTCCTGCTACACTGAAGTCCCACAACATTGAGCGTGAAAATGGAGTATATGGAAGAGGGAGCACGGCCTAGTTGGTAGCCTAAAGTGCAATTTACTGATCCATGGGAACTCTGCTCCTCATTCCCACAGCCGGTCTGACCACATCCAATCAGCGGCAGATTCGCCACATGAATCTCTAATAATAACTACTAAGCTTTACCCACCACTATTCCAGCTTGTGAAAAAGCACTTGGAACGCCAGTCGTCTGAACGACCTACGTAAGGTCACACACTGTTCACCAGCTAAATCGCATGTGAAACCGCAACAGCAGCTTACATTTAAATAGGGCCCTTCATGCAGGGTAGCGACCCGGAGCCATGCTCAGTCCCAATGTGCCAGCGCTTACCTGGGCGACAGCAACCTGCGTCTGCTGTTGTTGCTGCTGTAACTGCTGCTGTAGGAGCTGGATCTGATGGTGGACGGAGAGCGGGGTTCCTGACGGCAGCTGGCTGGATGAAGGAAGCAGCATCTTGGGAGTTGCCATCAGAATGGTAGAGCTATCATCAGCAACAACCTGAAACAGACAGAGGGTGAGAGAATTCAGATTAGAACAGAATAAGAGATCAAAGCAGGTTCCCTGCAGAGTCCCTCAGAAATCAACCAGATTTCTTCCTTCATTTTCCCCTCTCTGTATCCACAAAACCCTTCTGTTCAGGGAAATTGATCTTTATAGTTCGTTTGTTTGTTTATTTATTATTATAGAAATAAGTTGCATTCATTTTTAAAACACCACAATCCAGACCATACCAATGAGGGTGACTTGAAATAACATATTCCGAAAACATTCACACAGTATCTTTGAAGGATCAGTGGTGCACAAGGTAAGGTCACTGGAGTTTCAGTCACTGACTTTCATCTTTGTACAATGTTGTTATCAGTAAGCCGCGGAGCAGTATGTTGAAGCAACGTAATGAGAACATTTTTCTCCAACTTTTACCAAAGACGGTTCTTCTGCATAAGAGGCAAATTACTCCATAAAAGTCCCATTTCCCGATTGTCTGTGGAACATTGCAGTGTGTAAATTGTCTGAACCTTTTGCCTATGAAATATGTAGCCACTAAACGTTACTCTTGAAATCTGGTACGTGCTTCGAGACTTGAAACCCTTTATATCAAATGCAAAGATTATTATTATGTTGATGATGAAGAGCATTTCTCAATACTTTTATCACTGCAAGAATTTGTCGGGTGGGTGACAAGCCACCACCGCCACACCCACCATATCAGCTCATTCACTGGAACCTGATGCTGAGCAGGGTAGCTGTGTAATATTGCAGAACATCTGAAACCAGTCAGAGTACAGCTTCTCTTAGCACCTGCAGAGCACATCTGTCTTCTGGATGGAAAGAATGGCAATGGTGTAGTTAATGCAAAATGCTATTCTAATCAAGGCTACTCCGGTTCTCAATGTAATTTAACTTCTATCTCAACATAGTCCTGTAGCTCAGTGGTTAGAGCACTCGCTTTGCAAGTGAGAGACCTGAGTTCAATTCCAGGCAGGGCGAAACCTTGGGCAAGTTTCCTTACTCCACACAGAGCCTAATAATAATCCCTCCAAAAACCAAAAACAATAATAAATTGGTCATTTTCAATCTACGACTGTTTGTGGGACATTGCTGTGCGCAATTGGCTGCCGCGTTCGCCCACAAATATACAGTCAATTCACTTTGCAGTATGTTCTGTGAAGCGCTTTGGGACGTCCTCCCGACGTGAAAAGCGCTATATCAAATGCAAGGATTATTATTATTATTATTATTATTAGCATGCATTGAGCAGCTACAGCCCATATTCTGCTGGACATCGTTATAAAAACACAATTTGGACAGCAGGAACCCCAGCCACAATGTGGTAAATAAGCTCATCAATTCACTGGATACTTGCTAACAGGTTCATTGTTCTCAGTGTCCTTTGAATCATACCAGGCAATCCTACGATTCAGAGAAAGATTAAAACCCAAGGACAAAATATAAATTTTTGCTTAAATAAATTAAAAGCATCGAGAGTCTCCATAGTCCTCAGAAAAAGTCACATCATTAAGGATAAGTCACGGAAGTCTGGCCCAGGGCTGAGTTAATTAGGTTCATTTTCCTCCATGAGCCAATTCTTACTTTCAATTTTCCTGCTTGTATTGCTCCCTTTCCTCTTCCCTTACAGCCAAACCACATCTGCTTCACCCAAAACTGCCGGCTTCTTATTTAAACAGCACAGATGTTCCATGGACGAGGTTGGTTTTACATGTTTTGCCCTGAACAATGTGACATTTTCCTCAAGACTGACACGTTTACAATTTAAATTTATATCGAGCCTTTCATGTTGGGAGGACGTCTCAAAGCACTTGACCCAGCTGGCTGGCTGGAAGCCCAAAGCTGGAAAGGTATTCAAAAGCAGAGTCGAACAAGGTGCGTTTTGAAGGCAAGGAGAGAGGAGACAAGGTGGAGGGACTCTAGGTTGTTTTCCATAGAGCAATATTATTTCTTTAATCAGTTGATATTCTGCTCGAGTCTTAACCATTGTCTGAATTTTAGGGAAATTAACATGAAAGGCAAATGAGGTGGCAAACCAACTCAGAAAGATCAGCCACTAACTAATCAATCGTCAGAAACATTAAGCTCACGGCAAATCGCAGACTTTCCTGGGAAACATTGCCAGTAAATGGCCAAATTTGGGACTGGGAAATGGAACCTGATGAAGGGAAAGCTTTAAACCAAAAAAAATCGCTGGGTACAGGAATGTTGTTTGCTGCTCAATAAGAGCTCCTCATGAAAACGTTATACGTACTGAACAACTCAATGAGAACCAGCTGCTTGGATCATAATAACAGAAATAATTGTTCTTACATTTGATACCACTCCTTCCACGCCAGGAGGACATCTCAAAGCACTTCACAGGATTTACTGTAAAGTGTAGTGACTGTGTATTTATAGGCGAATGTGGCAGCCCATTTGCACACAACAATGTCCCCCAATCAGCCATGATGTGAGTGACCAATTTTATTTGTGGGATTCTTAGCCAATACACTGGGAGAAACTCATTTCCCTTTTCGATAAGCACCAAAGCTTTAAGCACTGGGTTTTTATGATGAAGTCAGAGGCTTTTTTCCTGTGTACCCCAGTTTATAAAAGGCATTCTTGGATATGCTATGCCTATATATACTGTGAAAGAGAAAATACTGTTTGGCACACACTAATAAAAGATTTGATTTAACGACAATGAACTGTACAATCCTGGCCTACTGACTTACACAGCAGTGCTTATTTCAGCAATACATGGATTTCAGATTCAGGAGTTTATCAATGATGGATTGTATGGAACAATTTCCTTTAAAACGTAATGAGACAATAAATTCTTGAGAGAGCAACAAGTACCATGGTGACCATGGATTTGAGATACATTAACAATATCTTACGGATTCAGTTCACATTATGCAACAGCAACCAACAGAACGCCCACAGCAACATGACAGTCACTGGTGCACAGCACTGCTCAGAACATGGGAGCTTATCCTGAGCAGTCAACTGTGATTTCCCTCTCCTCTCCTTACTGAAAACGTAGAGAGTGACCTAATAAGTGACCCAATGTGCCTGCTACACTGAATCAAACATGTTCTTCCAAAATAGATATCTAGAACTGTCTACTGATGCCACTAGATTTGAACTGTCCTGACACACGCGCACACACACACCACACACACACGCTCTTCCTCCTATGAATTCCAGACAACAGCAACCACATTCATTGCTAACGTCTACTAACAATGATGCAGATAAAGGTTTAAACCACTGCCCCTCTGTGCATACCTGTCTGAACCAATCTTAATAACATTTTTTTAAGTAGGAGACTGGGGAAATTCTGCAATACATTCTTGAGTTTGTTCGTTCAGCCTGACCTTGATGCGAATGAACAGGTGGATTAGGTAACCACTTTATCCTAGACCTGCAGGGTAGGAAATGATCATTAGACATGTAGGTCCAGAGCTCTCAACACAGCACAAGCTTCTGGGCATCTCTCATGGTAGGATCTTTTCCTGTTTATTACTGAGACGGAATCCTTTGGCAATTTTGTCACAGAGTCGAATGATTGAAATAAAATAAAGAACAATATGTTCAGATAGGCAGCAAGACAAGAATGCACAGTTTCGGTTTATGAGAGCAAATTCATAATGGACAGGATTTATCTCTTTACGTAGAAGGTTATTATTAGCTGGAATAGGGTTCCAGGAAGATGGCAGAGACTAGGACTTATTCAGGAAACAACCAAATGCTGTGATGCGAAAACGTTAAAAGTGGATGTTCAGGAAGGATGGATCAAATTGGCCAAAATACTGGTCCATCCCTATTTCTCTTATGATCTTGTGAAGATAACAGTGCAGTCAGTGCGTAGGCAGCGAGTTTAAATTCTAACACCCAGGACTATGTAGGGTGGGACATAGATTTCATCACCCGTTGGATTGAGATGTTTAATGTAATTGCGCAGAAGGGGCTGAGTGGAAGCCAGGTCCTTCACACCTGAGAGGGACAGTGATTCTGGGTTCACTGGTGCCTAGTGTAGTAGCGACTAGGAAGAAGCCTGACTGCAGATCTTTGCAGTGCCGTGGTTCTTTCAATCAGACTCGTTCCACTCAGGAAAATAGGAAAGAAGCTGAGAGAAAAGCTGAGATAATACAGGCCTAGGTCACTATTTTAAAAGCTTAAGAGACAGCAATGCAGTCTTGGGGTTCAGATAATGAGTTAACTTCAGGAATAACACTGACCCCTGCCTGTATCACTGCCGAGTGATTCCCTCCAGTTGCCCAGCATCCTGGACAAATGTCAAGCTCGCTGCAAGTCTAGCGGCAGAAGCATTCATGTGAATAATCAGTGAAGTTAATTAACAACAAAATAATGCCACATGCTGGAATTCAGCTTAGCAAGCAACTTTTTCCACTGGGAAATACACCCTCAATTCTAAAATGTGTAAAGGAGCATCTCAACCACACGCTCAGTGCCTAGGAAACCCTGGTACACATTGGGGATACAGTTGGTCTCAAGTCCACGGACTCTGACAGAACAATCATCAACAACAACATATTTATATGGCGCCTTTCACATCGAAAGGACTTCTCAAGGCGCTGACAATCAGCAGCACCTCGGGACATCGTTCTGCATGAGGGGCGCTATATGTTGTTGTTGTTGTTGCTTAGGCTGTGTTTGGGAAGCCCTTTCTTTCTGTTTCTTACACTACAGCAGTGTACCAGAAACAGCCATGAAGCAAATTTTATCCAGGGGTATTGTTGGCCAGGGCACCAGGAGAAACTCCCTTCTAATTCCGAATAGCCCCAGAGAGTTTTTTAGTGTCCACCTGAACAGGCATTAGAAATCTGAAGCTATTTCTTAGCACCCCTCCCTTGAGCTTCACAAATTTTTGAGTGAGTGAGAGACACAGAGAGAGCATCCACACTGTACTAAAGTCATATGAAACAGAATTAAATGTTGAAGGTGAAAATGAAGGCGAATAAAAACAGCAATAAGGAGAAGTG